TATATATATATTATGTATAACAACTTTGGTACAGCTCTGTAGAAGAAAAATGATAAAGGCTATATAGGAAGGTCAATAAGCATTCATGAATTAAAACAGAAATAAAGAATAGCTGTGGATACATATATGTATGTGTGTGTGTATATGTATATGTCATTTTGGAAGGAAGAATCCTATAAATCTGTGGCTCTTTGGAACAAAACAGAAAAAATAGGTAAATTTCCATTACATAAAGAAAAGGATAATCTGTAAGTTCTGACGTGGAAAGAGCTCTACCAAACAAAAACAAAACAAAACCCGCTGCTGTGGAGTCAGATCCAACTCATAACGACCCCTCCGTGGGTTTCCGAAGCAGTATCACTAAAGAAATAGATTGCCCAACCTTCCTTCCAAGGAGTGGCTGGTGAGTTTGAACCACCAGCCTTCTAGTTAGCAATCAAATGCCCTAGGCATTATGCCACCAGAGCTCCTGGAAAGAGCTCTAGGATATATTAAATGAAAAAAAAAAAGTGCAAAAATAAATGTGGATATTATGCACCCTTCTGTAAGAATGGGGAATTTTAGAATATATATTTATACTGCTAATATTTGCACAAAGAAATACTGAAGTGATACACAAAAATAAAAGGTGGGGAAGAATGAAGACAGCTGAGAGGGAGACTTTTCATTGTACCTCTTTCCCTATTATTTTGATTTTTGCACTACGTCATGAATTCCCTATTATTTCTTTAAAATTTTCAATACTTACGTAGAGCATCCCCTTATATAACCTTTATATTCATACATAAAGATAGAACAGCAAGTACGTCCCACATTTATTTTGTGAAAATAGCTTGGGCAGTAAATGTTGAAGAACTTAAGATAAACAGTGTACTCTGTAAATTATTGTTTATTCTACTCTTTCTGCTATGTATCAAAAGAGATCAAATTTTGAGACAAGCAAACAACATCAAAGTTGTAATTACGTGTAAGATTACTTTTTATTTATATGAAGTTTTTCATTGGAGATGCATATGCTCTGAGAGCACCACCTCATTAATTCTCACAACAGTCTTGTGAATCAACTAAAGAGCCAGTAAATTATCCTTGTCACAGTAGAGAAATGTGGTCAGAGGCATTATAGAGGTAGGAAAGAATAAATCATGTCTCCTTCTCATTGCTAATGAAAAGGCCTAGGCCTGGGGGCTCATGAACAAAAATGTAGCAAGAAAAGTGAGCTTTGTCCTTAAAATATGCATCATATTATTAAAAAATTTAAAAATAAATGGAAAACAGACATTGATCATTGCACTTTTGCTTTCTTTTCCTCTACATGTCCTATTTTTAGCCAAAAAAATGAATTTCCCCCTTCGATGGAAATGCTAATGAAATATACAGATACCTCTTTCTCGAAGGTATTAATCTGTTAAAATTAATTAATATTTCCATTATATTGGCTTAATTGAAGGAAATTAAATTTATTTATACATAAGTGGAAATGGAGAAGAGAGGTAGTGTGGTACAGTTGGAGGGTTGCCAGAATGAAAGGAATGTTGAAGAAGATACAGCAGATTTTTTAACCATCTAGCATGCTAACCCCAATGCCAACACCCCTTCAAAAACCTTGCCTTCCTGTTAATAACAAGTTTCTAAAGTAAGGCTTTTCAGAAATTTGTAATACTGTATAATTTTCTGTAAAAACTGTAAGTTTTTCTACCTAAGGTAGTAGGGGTCAGAGAATGGGGACCAAGTTAACTGAAGGCAAAACTTATTACCAATTATTTGATCTTTTTGGCTGTGTAAAAATACGGCCCAAGTAAATTTTTCTCTTTTGAGATGGCAACAGGTAGCCAGTATCATATCAGAAGCCTACCTTGTTAATCTATCGTAAAAGCAAATGTTATCTTTTTTTTTTAATCATAAAATAAAAAACTCACGGCCATCGAGTTGATTCTAACTCATAGCGAACCCCATTAGGTTTCTGAGGTGGTAAATTTTTACAGAAGTAGATTGCCTCATCTTCCTTCCATGCAGCAGCTGGTGGGCTTGAACTGACAAACTTCTGGTTAGCATTCAAATGTCTTAGGCACCACACCATCAAAACTCCTTTATTTTTTTTCATTTACTGGTATGTATTAATAAATTATTTGTATCAATTTCTTCAGCCTGAACTTCTAATCAAGTATCAACATCATGACTGTAAAATAGTACCTCGGATGTTATAGGCTTTTCTAACAATTGAAAGAAATTCCAATTTTATTTAAATTTTTGCATTGTAATTTCTATTCAAAGGAGCTTTGGTAATCCAGCAGTTACTAAAGTGCTTGGCTGCTAACAAAAAGCTTGGTGGTTTGAATCTACCAGCCTCTCTGCAGGAAAAACATATGGCAATCTGCTTCCATAAATATTTGTTTTTGTTGTTGTTACGTGCCATCAAGTCAGATCTGACTCATAGCGACCCCTCCTTGGGTTTCCGAAGCGGTATCACTACGGAAGTAGGTTGCCTAAACTTCCTTCTGAGGAGTGGCTGGCGGGTTTGAACTGCCAGGCTTCTGGTTAGCAATCAAATGCCATAGGCACTACGCTACCAGCCTTGGAAACCCAATGTGGCTGTTCTATTCTGCCCTGTAGGGTCACTATGAGTTGGAATCAACTCACTGGCAACAGGCATCAGTAATTTCTATTCACTGTGAGCATATATACTTGTCTAGGGAAAATGTTGGTAAGTCTTTCACATTAGTCTTCTTACTCTACATTATTTTGAAGAAGATTCATCCTAAGGCATTTGACTGCTAATCAGAAGGCTGGCAGCTCAAACCCACCAGCCACTCCTCAGAAGAAAGTTTGAGCAATCTACTTCCGTAGTGATAGTGCCTCGGAAACCCAAGGAGGGGTCTCTATGAGTCTGATCCAACTCGGTGTCAGTGACTTTGGGTTTTTTTTGGGGGGGAAGGGGGATCATAATACAGTTATTCTTATTTGTTGGGGTTTTATTTCCTCAAAATAAGTTCTATTAAAATGTGTTCCCCCACACACGTACAAAAACAACCACTGCCATCAAATTGATTCTGACTCATAACAACCCTAAAGGACAGAGTAGAACTGTCCACAGGGTTTCCAACTCTGTCAAACTTTATGGAAACAGATGGCCTCATCTTTCTGCCATGGAGCAACTGGTGGATTTGAACTACCTACCTTTATTGGTAACAACCAAATGCTTTAACTATTGCACTACCAGAGTTCCTTAATAGCTGTGTCCAAATACCTGTCTAAAAGACACATTACAGTTTCAGACTGGCTTTTGATAAACTAGTGGGTTTCTCTCTTGTATGAAAAACAGTGAGATCAAGTTTTTGAGTTCATTTAAGATCAATTGCTTACATTTAAAATAAGGAAGTCTTAGCAAATTGGCCTAAATTAGTAATCTGTACTTAATAGTGGTAATACCAAAAGATTTCATATATCCTTTTTCTTATTTAGTAAAAATTAAATCAAGCCAAAGTTTGGTTTAGTTTAATTAACTACAGTTTTATTTATGTTTCTATTATTACTTTCATTTTAATTAGATCCTTATGTCAAAGTATCTCTGATGTGTGAAGGTCGAAGATTGAAAAAGAGAAAGACAACTACAAAGAAAAACACTCTAAACCCTGTGTACAATGAGGCTATTATTTTTGATATCCCTCCAGAGAACGTGGACCAGGTCAGCCTCTCCATCGCGGTCATGGATTATGATAGGTAAGGGCATCTCTCTCGTGACTGAGTGATGTTATTATTGTTAAGTTGCCATCCAATTGATTCCCAATCATGGCAACCTCATGACCCCACATGTGCAGAGTAGAACTGTCACCCATACGGTTTCAAGGCTGTAGCCTTCTGAAGCACTTCTGGGTAGATCTGAAACATCACCTTTTTGCTTAGTAAACCAGCTCTTAACCATTTGAGTTACCCAGAAACCCTTCACTAAGTGACATGGAGGCAGAATTTCATTTTCAAGTGTTTTACTGCTACAAAACATTTTAACCAACATTGCAGGAATAAAAATGATTGTTCTGTTATAGTATTTTTTTTTCTTTTTCAAAAGAAGATATTCTTAAATTAAAAGACTAAAAGACAGGATAGTTGGACCAGTGAAAAGAATAGTATGGAAGCAGTACTGAATTAAGTATAGAAAACATTGGTGAAGTGTTCTTAGAGCAACAACAGGGATTACAAACAGCAGTGTGTTTTCCCAACTGTGCTAAATTTCTCATCTTGATTCTTGACCAAGCTCTATCATTGAGTGGCTTTGTAAAAGGACAAGTTACCTAACTTTTCACATCTGTAACATATCAGCATAACCTAAAATCATAAACAGGAAATATTTAGAGTATAAGATGAATAGTGGCCAAAGGGATACAACTCTAATGTTTTCACATTAATGTTAAAACACTGCCTTGTGATACTGTTCTTCCAGCTCACACACTTCCCCTTTCATAGAATAAGCCAAAACTATCCAGTCCCTTGATTGCCCTTGTCTGGATAAAACGGGTGCCTGCTCTGTGTTATCCAGTCCATGTATCTAATGTTACCCATGTTTCCCAGCCCTGCTCATGTCAACCCTTTATTAAATCTTTCTAGATTTACCTCTTCTTCTTCTGAGCTCTGTCCCACTATATATTCATACCTCTTATTTAATATATCTTAATATATATTTTTCTTACTGGTTTGCTTTTTACATTTATAAACCCTTTGGAAAAGAGTATTATATATTTAATTGACAAAATTATTGGGGCTCTGGTAGCATAGTGCATAAGGCATTTTGACTGCTAACCAGAAGGTTGGCTGTTGAAACCCACCAGCCACTCCTCAGAAGGAAGGTTGGGCAATCTACTTCCGTAGTGATACTACCTCAGAAACCCAAGGAGGGGTCACTATGAGTCGGAGCTGACTCAATGGCAAAACAACAACATTATCACCACCTGGACCAGTGCCTTACTACACTTATTTTATTCTAATGATGACAAAGATGGTACAGAATACACATATACAAATACACAAAAAGAATGCCCATTTTATAATATCATGAAAAGGGGAGTAACCAGGACCCTAGAACCTAGGAAAATATGCTACCCTCTGGTTTAGAGCTATCAAAGCTTAGCACTGAAGCACTGAAAAATAAAATTATTTACATCATCTATTTGAAATTCATTTGTATAAAGGTCTAAAAATCTGACTGCAGATTGTATGTGTGTATGTGTATGCATAGTGAGAGAAATTTTTAATTAGTTAAAATGTCAAACTTCACAAATGCCATTAGTGTTTTTATCAGCAGTCTTTGTCCTACTTTACCTACTGAGTCCTTACAGCACAGACTGAAGGTAGATACAATTGAACATCTGCTCCCATAATTTTAGGGAAATGGATCTTGATGACAAATAAAACAGAAAGTTAAAAAATTTTGATTTCTAAAAATCTATGCTTGTTTGTGAAACTTCACTCTGAAGAAAGTAATACTAAACATGTTATCTCTAGATCAGCAGCAGGAAAAAAGTTATGAAATATCCTAAAATCTTCTCAAAAATCTTTTCAGAAGTGTCTGTCAAACTAATGATAAAGAAACACTCTTAAATTCCTTTTGTTCTTGAGAGGCAATTTACCACTTGCATTCTTGGATCAAGTGCCTGGATTCAAATCCTATCTCTGCCTCTCAGTAGGTATGTAAAGTCAGGTCACTTCCTTCACTTCCACTTGCTTAGATTCTGTATCTATACAATGAGATGATGATAATGATGCTGAAGTCATGGTGTAAGGATTAAGTGGGTCAGTACATTTAAATTACTTAATCAGTGTCTGGCCCATAAAAAGCTCTCAAAGATATTAGTTACTATTTTGATTTGTTGCTGCAAAAACAGGGCATGATAGAAAAATAAGAATGTTATCCAGTATGCTCTACTGCTATGATATATTAAATCAAAGTCTGTGGTACTGAAAATAGCTCTTCCCTGTCTAATTGCCTTATGAGTAGGAATGCACATATCATTTAAACCAAAAAAAAAAAAAAACCTCACTGCTGTCGAGTCAGAGCCCACTCATAGCAAACCCCACTTGGGTTTCCAAGGCGGTGTCACTCTGGAAGTAGATTGCCCAACCTTCCTTCCAAGGAATGGCTGATGGGTTTGAACCTTCAGCCTTGTAGGTAGCAGTCAAGCTTAGGCACTATGCTACCACAGCTCCTATGTATCATTTAAATATGGTCATTTATACAAAAAAAAAAAAAAAAACCCTGGGTATTGTGTTCTTGGTTGGAAATCTAAACATCATTATGTAACAGTAAGCCTGTGGAACAAATAAGGTTTTATTTATGTCACTTAAATTTAATACTACTTTCAAGAAAGAAAATCATCATGAAAATAAGGACACACTGGCATTTCCATTCACACTATTATTATTATGAAAATGTGCTCAAATTACAGAGCACTAAATTGGTTTTTGGGTACTTTTTATACAGATTCACTTTTAAATTATGGTCCTGGTTAGTACAATTTACTTAAGATTTTTCACTTGACCTGAGGAAGTTTAATCTACAAAATCAGGTAAAATCTGTACCAAAGACAGGTACGGATTTAATCACATGAGGATAATAGTCTACTAAGATGTGTGAACTCTTATTTATCTTTGAATGTCTGAAATGAACGTATATAATATTCTGTGAATCATAGGGTAGGACACAATGAGGTCATAGGAGTGTGTAGAACAGGACTGGATGCTGAGGGTCTTGGGCGGGACCACTGGAATGAAATGCTGACCTATCATCGGAAACCAATAACCCACTGGCATCCCTTGGTGGAGGTAAGCCCTGTGATTTCCTGACATGTACTCTCTTTGTTATCTTGTTTGCTTAAATATTATTTGCTAACATTTATCTGAAATTTTATTCTTTTACATATCTATCTTTCTTTCTATCATCTATCTATCTTTTTAAACCAGACATTGCTCTTGCTCTTGTTCCACAGTCTTTAATGTCTGATACTCAGAGTTCTATTTCCCTTGTCGGATTTTGAACATCACTAGACTTTCTGACTTTTATCTTCCTTTGGACAATAAGCCCATAAAAACAGAAACGCTGTTATTTTCTTTGCACAGCCTGAAAACATACCTCAATGAGTGGTGGAGCAATCTAGTAAATTGATTACTAACTGGAAATTAATGTGGCTACTTCTCTTTTGTGAAAATAGCCACGTAACATAAAGTTCTCCAGAATCTCTAAATAGAGATACTGTTACCAAATGCAACTCTTTTGTGTAAGGTGACAGGTATATCTCCCCCAACTCTGGTCAGAAAGTAAAACTACTCACAGATTTTTAAAATATTGGGGCCTCACCTTGCCTGAGTTTAAAGTTGGGCTGTGCTGTCTGATTACATATTGTGGAGCCATGGGCAAGTTATTTAACCTCTGAAAGTTTCTGCTAGTATTCCATCTCAAACCAAACTCATTGCTATCGAGCTGATTTCAACTCATAGTGATCCCCACTGGGTTTCCAAGGCTGCAAGTCTTTACAGAAGCAGACCACTTCATCTTTATTCCATGGAGTGGCTGGTGGGTTCAAACCACCAACCTTTTGGTTAGAGGACAAATGCCTTAACCACTACAACACCAGAGCTCTTTTCATAATATTAATACATTCATAGTATAAAACTAAACAATATACTAATTATGAAGTGCTTAACAAAGAGTATGGCACAATGCTAGTTATTATTATAACTACTATTAATAGTTTAATAACCAGAGGAAGTATCAACATGCCTTTTTGCATGTTAATTTGCAGTTTACTCATTACACAACGCTGCTAGGTTGAATGGCTTTCTCTCCCAAAGACAACTGCTGGAGCCCTTTGAAGACTCACAAAGTAAGTCACTTATATGACCTGATTAACTGAGAGATAGGTAACACAAAAGGATGATTACTAGGTGATGGATTTTATGTGATTCAGTAAAAAAAATAGTTACAATAAACATGTAGCAAATGAATGATACATCTTCCTCTGTAAGTGGGTAAGATTCTATCTACTTCTAGTTCTGGTGTTAGCCACTGGTTTATAAGGCAGAAACAGCAACAACACTAAATGTCAGTGGACCTATGTTCTATTCTCAGCTTAGTCACAAAAAAGGGTGACATTGGCTGTGTTACACAGTATATCGTAGTGAAAGTTGGATGAATACTGCATTGCATGCTCAGACAATGGGAGTTGAAGTGTCCGAAGATATCTATTTATATGAATGTCCAAATATTTACCTAACTTCATCATTTAATGAAAATCACAAAAGATACAGATGCACAAATGCACATTCACAGACACTTACAAATGCACATTCACAGAGTTTATTCCCCAAATGTGTTTTGGAAAAATAGACACATGCATTCTCTGAATAGCTTAATATATCTCAGGAAAGTTGCATTTCATTTCAATAATGCATTATTTAAAGTATTTTCAGGCCCTCTCCTCTCTTTAATTGCCTCTATAAAAATCACCTCCTACCTTGCAGCAAGTGACACATAGTCTCTTGTGTCCAGAACATGTTCATCACTTAGCTAGCAATTGTCCCAGCAGAGTAAGCCATTAATTATTTTATAAAAAGAACTGAAAATTGTCATAAAATGTGAACCCAGTCTGTAATTATAAATAGTTGTCTATGTGGTGATGCCCCGTATACATCTCTACAAGGTATCTGTGTTATCTCATGCTGCTTCAGAAAGTAAGTTCTGAAGGGCAAAGGGAGTTATGTATATCTTCTATTTAAAGATTTGCATATAATAGTTTAATATTCATTATTCAAAGGTAACAACAATTAGCTACTTTATTCTTGTTTTGCCCTAGATCATATATTTTGAAATTATTGTTTTTCAGTTACCTGGCCGGGCGACCAGTTTTGACAGTCAAGGATCCTGTTCTTCTCCCAAACCACCTTCCACACCATAATGCCTCCAGAATGACACCACTGTAATAAAGATGTAAGACCGTGTGCTCACCAAATCAGCAAAAAGAAAAGTGGAGGGTCTGACTTCCCTATTTAAAAGGTATCAATGGTAATCAATAAACTCGATGTGTAATTTTTTCACTAAGTTTTGTTGTCTGTTAATTATATTTGAATATCTTAATACATTTTACTTGAACATAACTAGTTCTTATTTATATGTCATTTTATCCATAAATTATGTTATATGCATATTAGTACAGAGTGTTTTAATAAGTTGTATTTCTTTTGCATAAGCAAGTAAACTTTTTTTAAAAGAATCAATATTTATGTAAAATTAAATATACTTCATGCTGCTGTTGTATAAAGTAGCCCATGTCGTAACTGTATGGTTTTGATTTTCTTAGACATATATTCATTTCCAACTGTATACATGGTTCTATATAAAATTTAATGAAAATTTTGAACTCACAGTGTTAAATCCATGAACAATCAAGTTAAATGTTACTTATCTGATAATAATTTCTTTCACTCTAAGCAGATTATTTTCTTGGTGAGGTTTGGCTTTGCCAAACTCAAAATTTTGTCACTTAAGCTTGTTCTTTGAAGTATACAGACAGAGCTGTAAATTTAAAGAACTATTTTGAATATAAATCTAAGAAGTAATATTTAGTAGCTGGAAAATGGGGATTGAGCCATTTTGGCTATTATTTTATACTGTCTTAAAGTTACATTAGCTGAAATATCAGTTATATTGAGTAATTGATATTTTAAAAATTCTAATAATCTCCATCTCCAATGTAGCATTAATATTCTTAAGTGAATAGAATCAAAAGTTGTCTGGTTTTTTTTCAGTGTTTGTAATGTTCTTAAGTACTGTGATAAGTATATTTTTGTGACATGAAGCTATAATGTAGATCATGTATCTATGATAGACCATACTAACAGACACCAAAGTACAAAACTCTCTGTGCTCATTGTCCTTTAGATTATACGAAGCAGTGGTGACTTTTAAACCCAACCAATAGCTAATCATTGACATTAGATATTTTCTTAAAGGAAGATTTATTCATCAGTAAGTTATATATAAATATACTATAAATAATATAACTTCAACACTTAATAAAAATAAACAAATGAATTCTAAAGGCCCAAACCTTCCTTTCATGAAAGTCATGTGTCTTCATAAGATTCAAAGATCAGGCCAATAGTGGTAACAACTATGCAAATATTTTTGCAAGAAATAACTTTCTTTTAAATCATGGCAACTTTTCATTACCTTCATAAATATATATATAGAGAGAGACAGGAGCTCTGGTGGCGCAGTGCCTAAGGCATTTGACTGCTAACCAGAAGACTGGCATTCAAACCCACCAGCCACTCCTTGCAAGGAACACTGGGCAATCTACTATCCATAGTGATACCACCTTGGAAACCCAAGGAGGGGTCGCTATGAGTTGGATCTGACTGGAGGGAAGTGAGTTTGGTTTTACCTGGTTATATATAAAACCAAAACCAAACTCATTGCCCTCGAGTTGGATCTGACTCACAGCGACCCCTCCTTGGGTTTCCGAGGTGGTATCACTATGGAAGTAGATTGCCCAACATATATATATATATATATATATATATATATATATATCCCAAATTTACTTTCAAGATGTGTATATTTCCCCAAAATAGATGATTCGAAGGGCCAAAAAAAGACAGGAAAATCTTAGCTTAGAATATACATTAGGATGAGACAATCTTATCACAGCAATTGCCAGATACTTATTTTAATAAAATCTGTTATTTTTAAATATTAAAAACACAGTTCTTAATGCCTTGAAAATTGGTTGCTGGTATCTCCTATAAAGATGGAATTACTGTTAATTAAGATGTAAATATTTCACACACTAAGATTTTAAAAGCAAATACAATTCTGCCTAAATTTTATGAAAAATGCTTGCACCATACTAATGAGAACAAGTATTTCCAGGCTAAAATCTTCCCATTGCAAACAATAGAATAATCTGTTTGAAAATACTTGGCTGCATTTGCACTCCTAAAAGAATTGCTTTCCATAGGCAGAATGATTGAACCTGATGCTTCTATTTTGGAACTATTTATTTTACTGGGAAATAAAATTTGTCAAATAGGAAAGCAAAAGTGTCTTAGTAGAATGACATTTTTGGAGAAAATTGTTAATTGGTAGATATAACTGCAGCTTAAAGTAAATCAGCAATTATTTACACCCAAAAAACATATTTTCAGGACTTTGTATTCATCCTTAAAAGTTCATGCTTTCTTTGCTTTCTATGGAGAAAAAGGCAATGCCCATGATTTAAAAGAAAAAAAAAAAAAAAAAAAGGGAGAGAATAATCAACCAAATAGGAGACTTTGAGGATTAAGGATTAAAATAAGTTTTGAAAGATTTTTTTTTAAAAATTGATTCCTATCATTTAGTGTAAACTTGTTATCCCAGAGTAAAATTAAGAGGAGAGAATTCACAATTTATCATTCATGCAATACATGAGAAAGGTGTACCCCCACATTTATAAAGCATGATCATTTAAAATGATAGTTCATACTGTAAAAAATAATCCTACTACTTTTAATACAACACATTTACACTCTATACCACCACATGTCCATACACATAACTTATCCTCTTTCTGCTTGTGATTAAAAATGAAATATTTTTAGTTTCAGCATTGAAAATAAACCTTGATATTAGACATATCCTTCACTAGTATATGTGGGACACCACATTTTAATGACAGCACTGATACACAATGAAGTTGTAGCTTAGGTATATGGTGAATACCTAATCAGGGATTTATTCAGGGACTTAACAAATATACATTGAGGAAAAAGGAATGCTGATTCATTAGCATAACACTGATAATCTTTATTTTTTTGTTCTTGTCTCTTTTACTTGATTCACAATGAAGCAATCTGGAGACTAATGAGTAAATTGAAACCGAAAAGAACATTACATTACAATATTACACATTACAATATTATCACAAAAATCTGAATATTTGATGCTTTTTTTTTTTACCATTGGTTTTCTAATAATGTTTCTCTTGACAATGTTAATTTTCTTTGACAGGCCAGCCCTGTGTGCCTGGCATTATATCTTACATGTAAAACAATCATTGATATAATACATTCATAGTACAGGAAAAATATCATTAAGATTAATGCCAGAGGAATAGAGATGGAAACTCAGAGCCAAGCACCTATTTTCTTATGCAGTTTTTGAGGAGTGTATATTTGTCCTAGTTATTGCAGGGAGATCACAACAGATCAATACTGACTCAGGTTTCAGACAAAAGCAAATAAATTTGCATCTATTTGGTTGTGATATTTAATTGACACATCCAACTGTGTTTATTCTCCTATATGTTATTTTTAAAATTCTGCAGACTCAATAAAGAGCTTTCAATCTCTCCAACCTTTCATCTAATGATTACTTCCAAAATGAAAAAGATAAACTTTTACTCCTGTCCCAACTTTTACTACCCATAATATAAAGTATAACTTGTTTATTTCAGAATGATTTACCAAGAGAACCAAAGACTATTTATTACAGATAAAGGGATATTCAACACATCATAACTTATTTGCCTCTTTAAAAAGAATGTTTGATATTGTTTAAGAACATATATTTATATAGAATGGAGTTACATCTAATTATGTTGTCACCTTAGTTTTAATTATGACCTTCCAGATGAACCATAAATAAGGAATAAATTTCCTAACCAATTATCTGATAATTCAAAATATAAACAAACATGGGATTGATAAGGATTTAAGTAAATCATTCAACCTCTACTAAAGAGAATGTGAGGAGTTGTTTTCTTCATAATTTGTTCATGAAATATTTCTAGTTGATCTGAGGTACTTTTGACCATACTTATTCAATCTGTACACTGAGTAAATAATCTGAGAAGCTGGATGATATGAAGAATGTGGCATCAGGATTGGAGAAAGACTCATTATCAACCTACAATAATGCAGAAGACACAAACTTGCCTGCTGAAATCAGAGGACTTGAATCACTTACTGCTGAAAATTAAAGACTACACACTTCACTATGGATTGCACCTCAACATAAAGAAAACAAAAATCCTCACAACTGGACCAATACACAACATCATGATAAATGAAGAAAATACTGAAGTTGTCAATGACTTAATTTTACTTGAATCCACAATCCATGCCCATAGAAGCAGCAGTCAAATTAAATGACACATTGCATTGGGTATATCTGCTGCAAAAGACCTCTTTAAAATGTTAGAAAGCAAAGAAATCACTTTGAGGACTAAGGTGTGCCTCACCCAAGCTATGGTATTTTCAATTACCTCATATGCATGTAAAACTGGCCAAAGAATAAGGAAGTACAAAGAAGAATTGATGACTTTGAATTATGCTACTGGGGAAGAATACTGAATATACTGCAGACCACCAGAAGAACAAACAAATATATCTTGGAAGAAGTATAGCCAGAATGGTCTGTAGAAGGTTGCAGGGTGAGACTTCATCTTACATGCTTTGAACATGTTATCAGGAGGGATAAGTCCCTGGAGAAGGACATTAAAAAAAAACAAAACTCACTGCCATGGAGTTGGATCTGACTCATGGCCACCTCTCCTTGGTTTTCTGAGGTAGTATCAATACAGAGCTCTGGTAGCATAGTGCCTAAGGCACTTGACTGCTACCCAGAAGGTTGGCCGTTCAAACCCACTAGTCACTCCTTGGAAGGAAGGTTGGGCAATCTACTTCCGTAGTGATACTGTCTCGGCAACCCAAGGAGGGGTCACTATGAGTCGGGTCTGACTCGATGGCACATAACAACAACAACAACAACATCACTACAGAACTAGATTGCCAAATGTTCCATAGTGCTAGGGAAAATCGAGGGTCAGTGAAACAAGCAAAGACTCAAAGAGACGGATTGACCCAATGGCTAAACAAAGGGCTCATACATGGCAACAGTTGTGAGGAAGGAATAGGACTAAGTAGTGTTCTGTTTTGTGATACATGGAGTTGCTGAGTCAGAACTGACTCAACAGCATCTAACAACAACAGAAAAAATAAAACTTTATAATATTTAGGCTACTAATTTATTTTTACCAATGAAAAATAATTCAAAAGCACTGGAAATAAAATATAGTAATATTCTATACAATTAAAAAACTCCTTTACTTTTAGAGGAGATATGGTTATACCATCTACCATTGTTTAAAAAACCCACTACACAGCATTTTGACAGTTACTCAGTAACTGCTCAGGATATAACTCATCTTAATCTACTCTACCAAAAAACAAACCCATTGCCATTGAGTAGATCCTGACTCATAGCAACCCTATGGGACAGAGTAGAACTGCCCTGTAAGGTTTCTAAGGCTGTAAATAATTATGTAAGCAGGCTGCCTCATTTTTCTTCACAAGTGGCTTGTGGGTTTGAACCACCAACCTTTTGGTTAGCAATCGAATGCCTTACCCACTGCACTACCAGAGCTCCAAATCTACTATAAACCAAAAAAACCAATTTCACTGCCATTGAGTAGATTCCAAC